CCGTGATTTTTAAGACGTGTTATATATATAGTTAGCCTATAATTAATTTGACGAAGATAAAGATACAATAAGGAAGGATTATATTTGGGATAATATAGAGATAAAGATACGATAAGGATTATATTTGGGCTAATATATTTAAATTTGAATTTGAGTTTTGAAGGGAGATTATCACGTAAATTTGTTACGTAAGTTAGTATAAATCTGAGTTGTGGGTTATGGAAGAATTTGCGAATTATCTTATTATAGGTGAAATTTTTCCTAAATATTGTTCGGGAGTATTTGTGTGCAGAATTAGAGAAGTACGTACAGACAGAATTAGAGAGATGTATAGAGAGGAGGCAGAGAGACCGAGAGTTTGAAGCTTGGATGATCCAGTAATGAATAATTATTCTTTCAGGGTAGGGTTCTCTATACCTTGAATCGCTTGGGTGATTTTATCTCAAATATTTTATAACTGTTATTTTGCTCAAATTGCATATATGTATTTTTGTTCAAAAGCATATGTATATTTGTTAAGCTAATTTTCATGAAACATCCTTGAAATTCTTAGTATGGTTTTTCCTACTGGGACTTCCCATCTCACCACCCTCCAGTTTCAGGTACCGAGGATGCTTGAGGATTTCTAGTTGCGGGTTTAGAGAGGAGCTGTGTTGCGGGATGTATTTTTATTTAATTGGAGAATTTTGTACATGTATTTGAGGAAAATTGATTTTTGTATCAATAAAGGGTATTTCTTTTTATGATCCTGGGTGAATACTGATGTATTTGTTATTTGAGTGAATTGAGGATTTTATTAGAATTTTCGGGGCGTTATAGATGGTATCAGAGCATGTACCCAGTCGGAAGTGTGTGTGTAGTGACGATGTAGACGGGTGTGAATGGGCGAGTGTTTAGTACCGGCGAACTATCACTCGTAGCCAGGTGTGTGTGGGCGGATGTCATTCACTGGTTAGCTATTGGGGATGATTAGTTCTTGTGATTGGGCATATGGCCCTGATTTGTTACTGGTTTATTTTGAGTGGGCGGGTGACGACATCGGCTACCACAACTGTTGCGGAGTGTGTGGGCGGGTAACTAGCACTGTCAGCTACCACAACGTTTTACATGTCACGGTATCTCACATCGCCTGGGGTAAGGATTTATTTATATTGTTTTGTGATTTTTGATGTTTTCAGATATGCGAAAACTATTGGATCTAAATTTCGGGGACGAAATTCTTTTTAAGTGGTGGAGAATGTAACAACCGTGATTTTTAAGACGTGTTATATAGATAGTTAGCCTATAATTAATTTGACGAAGATAAAGATACGATAAGGAAGGATTATATTTGGGATTATATAGACATAAAGATACGATAACGAAGTATTATATTTAGGATAATATATTTAAATTTGAATTTGAGTTTTGAAGGGAGATTATCACGTAAATTTGTTACGTAAGTTAGTATAAATCTGCGTTGTGGGTTATGGAAGAATTTGTGAATTAGCTTATTATAGGTGATATTTTTCCTAAATATTGTTCGGGAGTATTTGTGTGCAGAATTAGAGAAGTATGTACAGACAGAATTAGAGAGATGTATAGAGAGGAGGCAAAGAGACCGAGAGTTTGAAGCTTGGATGATCCAGCAATGAATAATTATTCTTTCAGGGTAGGGTTCTCTATACCTTGAATCGCTTGGGTGATTTTATCTCAAATATTTTGTAACTGTTATTTTGCTCAAATTGCATATATGTATTTTTGTTCAAAAGCATATGTATTTTTGTGAAGCTAATTTTCATGAAACATCCTTGAAATTCTTAGTATGGTTTTTCCTACTGGGACTTCCCGTCTCACTACCCTCCAGTTTCAGGTACCGAGGATGCTTGAGGATTTCTAGTTGTGGGTTTAGAGAGGAGCTGTGTTGCGGGATTTATTTTTATTTAATTGGAGAATTTTGTACATATATTAGAGGAAAATTGATTTTTGTATCAATAAAGGGTATTTCTTTTTATGATCCTGGGTGTATATTGATGTGTTTGTTATTTGAGTGAATTAAGGATTTTATTAGAATTTTTGGGGCGTTACAAATGGTATCAGAGCCTGACCAGCCGGAAGTGTGCCAACGGGGACGTCGGGCCTCCAAGGGGGGTGTATTGTGATGACCCTATGGGCGGGTGTGTCGTGGGCGGGTGCGAGACACTAGTAGGCTACCACATTGGCGAGCTACGGGTGCACAGTCCCACATCGCCTGGGTAAGGGAATGCCCAAGAGTAAAACCATGCGGGATCAGGCCCAAAGCGGACAATATCATACCTATGGTGGAGTGGGTCGTGACACAAACCAACCAACTTGTTCAACTAGGTTAGCTTTAAGTTAATTTGGGTTTAGATTGGTTTTCCATACTTGCGAGTGATTTAAAAAGAAACAACAGGGTGTAACTAAAATCGAAATCAGGTCAAGCTAATCTTTAGCTGGCATGGTTTCAAGCTTTCATGGAGGGAAAAAAGCATTGGTAACCCACAGGAGAAAATACCAAACAGCACCAAAACCAAAATTGGCAGAAAGTTGGGAGGTGGGGGGAAGAAGAAAAGAAGAGGAAACCACCAAAAGGGGGTTGTTTCTTGCTTCTATCTGTTATAATTGCTTTAATGGTATTGACTCCAGACAGCTTGTGTTCTTTGAGTGCAGCTTTGCTAGAGCTATTTGGGACTGGATTGCAGATTGTTGTGAGTGGCATTTGAACTGTCATAATTTTGCTGAATTTTTTATTTGGTGTGAACAGAGATCTCAAGCTTCCAAGTTATTTTCTATGATCTTTTATACACAAACAAACACTAATCTCCATTTTCTGTACATACTACTACACTTTTTCTTCCTCTCTCTCTCTACACTAGTAGAGAGGAGCCAAAAACCCTTCTAAGCTTGCATTATACTTGAAGAAGAAGATGGCTTGAAGAAAAGAGAGAGAAATATCTACAAAGGAGGCTTTCAAAGCAAAAAAGGGTTAGAAAAAGAGGTTTTCTAAACGTATCTCTTCATTTCTTTACTTTTTGCTCTTCTTTTGCTATTTTCTTCTACATATCCCATGTTAATGTGTTGAAACCCTCATCTTGACTTTCATCTCTACACAGGAGGCAAACGGGTGTGCGGTGGCCGGTTTCCGAAATCCACACACCTCAAACCGAGGCCGAAGAGATGAGCATCCTTGGCCACCCGTTGTGTTAAACCCCGTAGTATTTTGGTAGGTTTTCCTTTTCATGTAAAACCTTGCTATTTTTCTTGTGTGCTCATTACATCCATTTTGCATTAAAATCGGTCACACACGTGTTTATTTCAACGGGTTGACCTTCTTGTCAAACCATTGTAAGCATTCTACATGCAAAAGATGATTCTCGTGATGTCTATACGGGCTATATGGAAAGAGAGGAACTTAAGGATGCATCAAAAGTGCTAGAAGTCTGCTGTTGAGGTTGCTAGAGCAGTTGTTTTGAAGTTATGGATGTTGCTGCCATCTGTTCTTTTGACGAGTTTTGATTCGTATTAGAAGAAATACAAGATAGAAGGAATAGAAGTGTAAAGGCTTGAATGAGATTGTAAGAATATGTGAAGACTTGAATGAATGTAAACACTCATTACAACTCTAGTATTTATATACTAAAAAGAGCCCATGTTAGTATTTCAAGAAAGGAAACTAAATAAAATCAGTGCATATTTTATGCCTAGACATGTGCATAAATAAAGTCAAATCCCATGATTCTAGCCTATCATATCTTTAGATAATATGGTAAGTTACATCCATTATTCTTAACCAATCATATCACAGCTAACACCCCCCCTCAAGTTGGTGCGTGGATATTTGTGACGCCCAACTTGGACAATGCATCCTCAAACACGGTCGTCATAAACATACAGCCAACAACTATGTTTGGCTACATTTAATTGACCAGCCAAGACATAACCACGGCATTATCTCAGCAAGTGTTTCCTTAGACCATAAACAATCAATAATGTCTCCACAGAACATAAACAATCAACAATGTCTCCTCAGACCATTCCCCTTCATACACAAGTTTAAAATATGTAGATGGAAGAATCAACAATGTCACCTCAGACTATTCCCTTCATGCACATGTTTAAAATATGTAGGTGGAAGAATCAACAATGTCTCCCCAAACCATAAGCCATCGACAATGTCTCCTCAAACCATTCCCCAATGGGTGGTGTTGAATTCGCAATGCCCTCACTGCGGTGAGACCACCCTGATACCAAGACGAAATACAAGATAGAAGGAATAGAAGTCTAAAGGCTTGAATGAGATTGTAAGAATATGTAAAGACTTGAATGAATGTAAACACTCATTTACAGCTTTGGTATTTATATACTAAAAAAAGCACATGTTAATATTAAAACAAAGGAAACTGAATAAAATCAATGCATATTCTACGCCTAGACATATGCATAAATAAAGTCAAATCCCATGATTCTAGCTTATCATATCTCAGCTAAAATGATAAGTTACATCCATGATTGTAACTTATCATATCTCAGCTAACAGTATTAGACTTGCAGTTTTTCTATTTTTTCTTTGCTTCCAAGTTTATTGGAAGTGGTCTTTTCACTTTGATTCTAGTGTGATGTATGGGGGGTATGCCCTCTCTTTATTCATTATACTTATTTTGACTATCTTTTCAATGGAAACAAAAAAAAAAAAAATAGATCTGTTGTTTGGACAAGTGTGAAAATTATTCATTATTTACGCATATTAAGAATCCCAGAGCTCATCCATCCATTCTCCCAGGTTTTCATGTAAGCCAAAACTTAACCCGGTATATCTACATACAGAATATGAAATAGGGCTATGACACGATATAGATATTAAAAAATTTCAAAGAATAGAAACTATATCGCATAAACAAGAATTGATTGATGAGAAATACATTAAGATCTATAAAGTAAATCATGCCAGCATGTGAAACAGAAACCACAATAATAATCAATAGGCAATAGGGTCAACATACCTATAATTTCTTCAATAGCAGTTGCAAGGGTAGTCGAATCCAGTTCATCTTCTGTTATAACCCTTGAACCTGCTAAATCTGCCATTAAAGATGCATTTCTGAATTGATGTCCTTCAGCAACATTTGGTGATGGTATCTAACAAGTTCAAAAGAAAGCTAATAATTTAAACAAGTGAGACAGTCAACCCCATTATAGATTCTAAAGATGCAAATAGCTGGAATTTTCTCATATAATTTATAGCTAAATACAAGAATAGGTGACTGATTCAAGTTTGAAGCAAGAATATTGTAACATATATGACTGCACATTTTTTTATTTGCAATGTGGGATAGTTATTTTTTCTTTTAAATCATTTTTCCCGGTTTTATTTAATCAACAAAAGAACTTTCCCAGCAAACAAGGCACATAATATTACATATGAGAGCTCAGAATTATTTTAAGTCATGGAAAGCAAACTGTGGCCACAAAGGCAGGGCTTATGGATTCCAAGAAACATCATAGAATAGAAATTTTGAAAAGGCTTCCATATTTGCACTTTCTCATCTTCTTAATGCTTTGGCAAGGAAAATTCTTAGGGTAAACAATTGGACGTTCAGGCCTTTCTAATCTTCAAGAAGTACTGTTGAAACTAAAGAATGAAGAAGAATCTGAAGGGAAAAGGCCTGTGTCTTTAGATTTGAAGGGTTATGTCCTCGGATACCAGGACTGTTTCAATAAATCATGAATGATACAGAAAAATAATGGAGAGAAACAACTCAGCCTTAGACAGTAGGTGAGTCCAGCTCCTCAAAAAAATGATTCCATCAAACTCCATGATTTGTGGCTATCAAATCTCTTGCTAATATGGTAAGTCATTCCATAATTCGTAGCTATCATATATCTGCTAACAATAACATTCATTATCTAAATTCAATAAAGAAAAAGAATAAAATTATACTAAGGTCCCTCGCGTCTGATAAAAACTAAATAGGGTAAAGTACAATGATACCAGAGGTTTGGCATAAGTACAGTCATATACAAGTTGGCCTATTTTTGGACAATGACACCCCCCTTGTTAGACTTGCAATCCAAACAGAGCCTAAACACATGTAAAAAATCTACTTTACCCTTCACTATTTTATTAATTTTAATTGTAACATATCAAAATAATTAGATGACCAAATTAACCTTTTCCTCTCTCTACTCTACCCTTCACTATTTTATTAATTTTAATTGTAACACTCCCTTGTGAGATTTGCAATCCAAACAGAGCCTAAAACACGTGAAAAGTCTAGTTCACCCTTCACTATTTTATTAATTTTAATTGTAACATATCAAAATAATTAGACGACCAAATTACCCTTTTCCTCTCTCTCTCTCTCTCTCTCTATATATATATATATATATAAACCACCACACACTAGTCATCACCACTGTAACCTCCATAACCACCCCAACTTCAGCTCACCACCACCCATTTTCCCCTCCACCACCATCACCGTCCACAACTACCACAACTTAGGCCTTATTTACGGCGTTCACTCCGCCACCACTAACACCCATCTTCCCCTCCGCCACCACCACCTATCTTCCCCTCCACCACCACCACCGATCTAAAACTACCGATGGAAAATTAGGCCTTATTTACAGCATTCACTCCGCCACCACCACCACCCATCTTCCCCTCCACCACCACAACCGATCCAAAACTACCGATGGAGTACGAAGAAGAGAATCGCGAATCAGAGGCAAAAGCTCATTGCGAGAGCTCCGCGACGGCGGCCAAAGAGCAACGATGTTCTTTTCGACAGTAGAGGATGTTCTTACCGTTGGACATCGCATCGTCATTCGTCTCATTGCCGGTGCGATTCATCTTCTTCACCACCGGTAACTTCAAACTGACGACGATTTTGATCGCCACTGTGGGTAAGATCAAGATCGGGCTCCATCGACTTTGTTGCTGAAGACGGAGAGAATGAACCGAAGGGCAAGAGCAATCACTGCCGCCCTCGCCAAGTAACTATTGCCACCACCGCCGCCAGAGCATCACAGTCATGTTCTTGGGCTTTGCACCCCAGTCGTCGTCGTTCTTTTTCCTCCAAATCAAGTTCTATAAGCTCACTGAACTGATGCTGTGTACGGTACTTTCACAGGACTTGTGTACTTCGGCGTTGGGTAAGCTCACCGAACTAGGTCTCTCTTTGCCGTTGACAGTTTTCTCCGGTATGTTCTTCACCGTCTTTACTTTGAGTTCTTCAACATTGATAAAACTTTATATTGCTGATGATGATGACGACGACGACGATGATGGGGTGGTGGTTGTGGTGGTTGAGGTGTGATGATGATGCGGCAGTGGCGGTTTATGTAGTGGTGGTGGTTGGTGGTGGTGATATATATGTGTGTGTGTATGCATGTGTGCCTATATATATATATACAAATATACAGAGAGAGAGAGAGAGAGTGGGTTCTGTCATTCCTTTCTATGTATATAGCATAGCTTGTGCCCTTATACTCCTCAACTAGAACGCTTCTTGCTGGTTTGGCTGGTAGCCTTCACTCTGTTAGGCTTTTGGGTTAGGGTTTAAGAGGGGAAAGAGAAGAAGAGAGTGAGGAGAGAGAAAAGTTGGGTTTCTCAAATGGGTTGTACCCGGTAACCCATTTAAACCTATTTGATCCAAGGGTATTTAAGTCAATCAAAAAGGGTTGTATTTGTTAATTTTATATCAAAGGGTAATAAAGTCAATTCACCATTGTCAGGGTGTCTTTGTCAATTTTATCAAACTTGAGGGGGTGTCATTGTCCAAAAATAAGCCAACTTGTATATGACTGTACTTATGCCAAACCTCAGGGGGTGTCATTGTACTTTACCCAAATAAATAAAATTTTCTTCTCAGCCATTTTCTTAAGATGGTGTTTACAAGAAAAATCTCCATCAGCAAGTCTTCGGAGCATGGAGATGAAGAAAAACTAAGGTATTGTGAGATCCTGATGGCAAGAATGCCAACAACAATATGATACTATATATGTTAATATTTTTAATTTTAAATGAAATTTTTTATGACTAGTGATTTTTTTATTACTAAATTAGTTCTTTTATTTTGATCATGATAATCGTGTTTTGTTAAACCTTGTGATTATATATATACTCATATTAAGATTAATATTATATAGAAAATAATAGTACAAATTTCTTTTTCAACTGGTTGCATGGTTTGTGACTAAGAAGATTAATCATAAGGCCCAAAAGCGCATCTGTGCAACAATTATTTGGCATGTGTGGCATGAGAGAAATATGAGATTGCACCAGGAGGTTCAAAGAACTGCTGTAGAGATTGCTAGAGCTATTTGTGGAGAGGTCCTGGTACTTTCAGAGATGGAGATGGGAGAGCACTACTTGAATTTTCTTATTCCATTGTGATTAGAACTGCGTAATGTACTCTGGTTTGTCTAAGGACAACTTGTTTCCCGAGGGAATGCCCTTGTTGATGATTGTACTTTTTTGTTATATCTATAAAAAAATAATATCTTTACCAAATCAAAATTCCTTGCTCCACCCCTACTTAGAATGTATAGATGTAATTTATATTTCTTCTAGGGACAGATTGGTCTTTATGAAAGATCACTCTGAGTTATATTTGTGGATGATCATTCTCGTATGACTTGGTTGTTCTTTATGAAAGATCACTGAGTTATTTTCAATCTTTCAAAAATTTCGTAACGAAATGAAAACCCAATTTGGATGTTCACTTCATGTATTGAGCTCTGATAATGCCAAAGAATATTTCTCAGCTTCTTTTGATTCGTATCTTCGTGATAAAGGCATTACTCATCATCATATGTTTCGAACCCACAACAAATTGGTGTGGTTGAACGAAAGAATCATCACCTATTGGAAGTGACTCGTGCCCTCTTATTCCATATGCATGTCCCAAAATGTTTTTGGCGTTTTGTCGTATTTACCATATGCATGTCCCAAAACGTTTTTGGCATTTTGTCGTATTTACTACAAGTCATCTCAGTAACCATATGCCATCTTCGGTGTTAGAATGAGAAATTTCCTCACTCTGTTTTGTTTCCTATTTCTCCCTCATTTTCTCTTAGTCTTTGGGTGTGAATGCTATGTCCACAATCTCGGACCTGGCTTTGATAAACTTGATCCTCGTACCACTAAGTGTGTGTTTCTCGATTAATCTCATTTACAAAAGGGTTACCGTTGTTACAATCCTATCCTTCAACGATAGTTTATTAGTGTAGATGCCTCTTTTTGCGAGTCTATTCCGTATTTTTCCGATGAAAGTCCTGTTCTTGATCTTACTCCTGAGACATCCTCACACTCTGTTCCACTTCCCTCCCATTGTTATCTAGCCACTCTAGTCCAACGCATCACATTGCATCATTACAGGTTTATACTTGAAGACCGAAGCCATTTGCTGCCAAGCCTCATCAGCCTTCTTCAGAGTCTTTGGATCCGACACCATCCACTGCCGACTTTTTGCCTATTGCCCTTTGTAAAGGTACTCGCTAATGTGTCACTAATCATCCCATTACTAATTATGTTTCCTATAAACCTTTATCATCAGCTTTCTCGGGTTCCTCCTCCAAGTTGTCTACTACTCTTGTTCCTAAGAACGTGCAGGATGCTCTATTTGATCCGGGCTGGAAGAAAGCAATGGAAGATGAAATGGATTCCTTACATCGTAATGGAATATGAGATCTTGTTCCATTGCCTCTTGGTACCAAACTTGTTGGTCGTAAGTGAGTATGTATTGTGAAATATCTTCCTGATGGTTCTACTGGGCATTTAAAAGCACCCCTCGTTGCTAAAGATTATACACAGACCTATGGAGTTGATTATGATGAGACATTCTCTCCTGTTGCCAAGATTTCGTGTTAGTGTGTTAATTTCTATTGTTCTAATTTTAATTGGTCGCTATTTCAGTTAAATATAAAAAATGCCTTCGTTTTTTTTTTTTTTCTTTTTTTTTTTTTTTTTTTTTTTGATAAGTAAAATTCGATTAGAAAAGCGTTCAAAAGGGGAACGCGTCCCTAATACAAAAAACGAAGGTTGAACCTAAGGACCAATAGAGTCCAAAAGGTCAACTAAATCAACAGTCGAGGAGCAATCGCTTCCTTTCACAAAACAGAAAATAGAACGAAGAATATGCATTTTCAAAGTCGCCATAGACGTTTCCTTCCCTTTAAAAGTTCTGCTATTTCTCTCTCTCCATATACACCACTAGACACAGTGTGGAACTACCCTCCAATAGTCACGAGCATGACTTTTCACTGGGCATCTTTTCCATGCGTTAATCAATCCTATGGAGGAATGGGGCATTACCCAATGCAAATAAAAAATGCTAAAAATGAGGTTCCAACAATCATACGCCACAGGACAGTGTATAAAAATGTGATTCACAGACTCACCATCTGATTTGCATAGACAACACTAATTAACAATAGTGTTGCCTCTCTTCCTCAAATTGTCCAACGTCAAAATCTTGCCCCATATGGCAGTCCAAACAAAGAAAGCGACTCTAAGTGGAGCTTTAGAACGCTAAACAGTCTTCCATGGGAAGTCATGATCAATGAAATTGGACAGACAAAGGAACGTGGACCGAACACCAAATCTACCATGGGTCAAAGGAACCCACAAAATATCATCACTACCCTTACCAACATCCTTCTGCTGATACAACAAATCCAAAAAGACACAAACCTCGTCCATCTCCCAATCCTGAAAAGAACGCCTAAAATGCACATCCCACGTAACCACGCCACTATCAAGTCGATAACAGTCAGCTACAAAGGCGTGCTTATTCTCGGCAATGCCATAAAGTCTAGGAAAGGAATAAGATAACAACTAATCTCCACACCATAAATCCTCTCAAAAACGAACACGTCTACTATCACGAACTTTGAATCTGATGTGAGAGGAAAAGACATCCCAACCCTTTCGAATGAATTTCCACGTGCCTACACCCCCCGCAATAGATACCGGACGAGAGGACCAGCCACCACTCTCCTCCCCAAAACGACACGAGACAACCCTTCTCCACTGGCAATGTCGCTCCCTACCAAATCTCTATAACCACTTTCCCAATAAAGCTTATTAAAAGGAACCAGTTTTCTGTTGCCTAAACCGCCTAACTTCAAGGGTTTGCAAACTTGCTCCCACTTAACAAAATGATACTTGAACTCCTCTCCCCTTTCACCCCATGGAAAGTCCCTTTGAATTTTTTCAATCCTTTCAGCGACAGAGAATGGGATATGAAACAAAGATAAGAAATAAGTGGGTAGGGATGAGAGACTACTCTTAATAAGAGTGACCTTCCACCCCCCCCCCCCCCCCCCCCCCCCCCCCCCCCCGACAAATATTGCTTCTTTCATCCTGCCAATCTCTTCTCATACCTATTGATCACCGGCTCCCAACTCCACACCCTCCTGGAAGAAGCCCCCAAAGGCAATCCCAAATAAGAAAGGGGAAAAGCATCGACCCCACAGCCAAGAACTGCAACTAAGGAGGAAATATCTGGAACATCCCCTACCGGGACAAGCACACTCTTTCCAATATTGATCTTAAGCTCAGAGACCGTCTGGAAGCACACTAGAATGCCTCTCAAATATCCAAGTTGGGATACATCAGCGTCACCAAAAACCAAGGTATCATCCACAAACAACAGATGGGAGATCTCCATCTGATAAGCTACATCTTTACCAACTCTGAACCCTTTGACATAAAAAATGCTTCCTTATAGGGTGACTTAGCTATAATTCAGTGTAATCAAAGGCCCAAGGCGCACTAAGGCGCTAGAGGTCCTTTGGAGCCTAGGTGCAAGGTGAGGCGCACGCCTGAATGAAGCAAGACGCACAATTGAAAAATTAAATTACTATTAAAGCATATTCATATTCCATATTAAAGGCATTTGTCAAAGGCGCACCTGGGCACACAACAGGCGCAAGTGTTGTGCCTATATGAGCTTGGAGCCTAGGGGCGCTCCTTTAACAACACTAGTCTATATGGAGCAACCACTTGGGTTAGTTGCTCATGGGGGGTATCAATATACTATTTGTCATTTAAAGAAAGAGCTTGTATGGTTTGAAACAGTCACCAAGATCCTGGTTTGGAAATTTTTCTAAGGTAGCATTAGAATTTGGTTTTCACAGATGCCAACCTGACCATGCAATATTTCATTAACATACAAAAACACGTTATATCTTTCTTGTTGTATATGTGGATGACATCATTATCACCGGTGATGATTATATGGGCATTGCTAAGTTGAAATTGTTTTTACAACATCGATTTCAGACTAAAGATTTGGGTAAGCTCAGATACTTTTTAGGAATTGAAGTTACTCGATCTAAGCAAGGTATAAGTTTGTCTCAGAGAAATAATGTGATCGACTTATTGGATGAAATATGTCTATTAAGGGTAGTTGTATGGGAGAGTGCTTTGCGATTTGACCCAAAAGCTTAAACTGTTAGGTGAGCTAACACCCAAACCCTATATATATCCATTCAATTTTCCATTCGGACATGATGTGGGACAAGTCCTCCTTATAACATTCTTCCCCACCTGAACTCACAACGCTCTCGTTGTGGTTAGGCCACCCTACCTACCCGGGTGGGCTCACACAGACACCTCCGAACTGGGCGCTTGGCTTGACACCGGATCAACGACTGGTCTGACTCTGATACCAACTGCAGTGGGCCGAGTGCTTTGCGATCCGACCCAAAAGCTTAAATTGTTGAGTGGGGCTAACACCCAACCCATATATAAGCATTCACTTTCCCATCCAGATCCGATGTGGGACAAGTCTTCCTTGTAACAGTAGTCCAATTGATGTTCCTATGGATACAAACTCTAAACTCTTGGCTGATGAGGGAGACTTTTTATTTGACGACCCTGGTAGATATCGTCAAAAAGCTAATTTATCTCACCATTACTCGGCCCATTGCATATGCGGTTAGTGTAGCGAATCAGTTCATGGGAGCTCCTAGGGTGCCAAATTGGAATGTTGTTCTTCAAATTATTCAATATCTCGAACAAGCTCGGGCCTCGGGTTATCGTATAGACCAAATGGACACCTTAAGGGGAAGGTTTTATAGATGCTGATTGGATTGGTTCTCCTTTAGATAGAATATCCACTACAGGATATTGCACTTTCGTAGGTGGTAATCCAGTAACTTGGAGGAGTAAGAAGCAAATAGTGGTAGCTCAATCCAGTGCTGAAGTTGAGTATAGGGTGATGACCCACACCTCTAGTGAGTTAACATGGATACAACATTTTCATAAGGAATTTGGGTTGACAGTTAGAACTCCTCTTCCATTGTTTTGTGATAACCAAGCAGCCCTCCACATTGCCTCTACTCCTGTGTTTCATGAGAGCACCAAGCATATTGAAGTTGATTGTGTGTGTGTGTAAATTGGAATTACATTAAACGACCAATTTGTCCCTAGAAGAAATATAAATTATTTATATACATTCTAACACTACCCCTCAAGCTGGGGAGTATATATCATATAATCCCAGCTTGGAACAAATAATCTTCAAACGATTATGACTCAGAGCCTTGGTAAACTCCCATTGTTAGGGTTAAAAAAAAAAAAAAAAAAAAAAAAAAAAAAAAAAAAAAAAAAAAAAAAGAGCCTTGGTAAACATATCGGCAAGTTGATCTTCAGATTTCACAAATGGTGAAGAGATGTTTCCACTCAATATTTTATCTCGAATAACAAGTGAGAGAAGAAACCAGATAACCTCTCACAAAATTCCCCAACCAGTATTTTCACGTTCTCTTTAATTTGAACCCTAATTTTAACAATGTTGATGTTAGTATTACTTATTTTTAATTGATAAAATGTATTATATATATGTACTAGCATTTAAAAATGTGGAAGTGACAAGGAAGAAGAAGAAAGGGGGCACATCTTCAGTATGGGTCTTTTGATTTTCATCTACTTTTTTTTAAATCCTGGACGCATTGCATGTTTTTATTGGGTGATTAAGTATCAAAATAGAATTTATCAAAATTATGTGTTTAGTGAAAGGTAATTAGTGATTTGCTACTACAAGTAACTACGAACTAACAGCATGGTCTAATTAGAAATTTTTTAATAGTTCATGGGTTTTTGCCATGTCAGGGAGGTTATCTACAAAAATGTATAGTTCGGGGGTTTCTTTTTACAATTTGCCCAAATTCCTATCCTACTCAATCTCTCAAATGAGACATAAGAAGATAATCATCGCACACATAATTCAAATTAAATCATTATGCACTATTGCTGCTACCTAGTGCTTATTAGTTGAATCCTCATAATAGGGATTAAACCAGTGTGGGGTTGAATTGAGTCATTCTGAAATATTTAAGTTAAGGAAAACATGTCTCAATAGATAGTTTAACTACCAGAATAGAAGGTTTCCCAGTGGCCAAGATCTCGTAGCAAGTCATCGCCCCAGCTCTTGAAACGACAAGGTCTGCAGCTGGATATGCCAAATTCATGGAATGCAAGAACCTTCAAGATGTTAGAACAAAAACAGATTAAAAAGGGAGAAAAAAAAAAATAGACATTAAAAAATCAAATGCAAATATAACATTCGAAGAACTAAATATTTACCTCAATCAGCAAAGAGCACAGAGAAAAATTAAGCTAAAACTTCCCACTTTCAAAGTTCAACAAGTTAGTTTAACTTTAAAATGTTATGTAAAACTTTGTGATAAAATATGTTGTGCCCAGTTTGTTGCGTGATTGTGACCACGCAAGATCATATACAAGCAGTAGATAATCAAAACACAATCACACAAGTCAGAGATGCTTGGAGAGCCATGGGCGTTATGGTCTATGTATTTGGTCGCGTTTGGTCTTCCATGGGTGTTCTCAGAATCCACGGTAGACTTGTTAGAGACTTGGAAAGGGTGTGCAGTGGAGAACCGAGTCAACGATGCTTGGAGGGCCACTCCCCTTTGTATTTGGTGGGTTATGTGGCATGAGAGAAATAGGAGATATTTTGAGGGAGAAAAGTCTCCCATTTGGGCTATTAAATACAGTATTCTTACTTCTTTTTACTTTTGGGTAAATGGGCGGGACTGTAATTCAATGAATTGTCTTTTGGATTTTGTGGATAGCTTAAAGCTATAGTGTCGTCTTGGACGGCTGTTGTCTTCTTTGGGAGCTGTCCCCTTTTGAGCACCTTTTACAAAATCTTACTTATCAAAAAAAAAAAAAAAAACACAATCACACAAGCCCACAAAAGACTACAAGATTTTTTATGATTCGGAAATAAGGAGAAAAGCATTAGAATCAAGGGGCCCAGGAATTAGTATAACTAAAACGGAATATATGACATGTAAATTTGATAAAGTAGAAAACGATGACAATATAAATATTACACTTCAAAACCAAACAGTTACTCAAAAGAACTCTTTATGTTACCTACAATCAAAAAGATGGGGAGATAGATGGTGATGTAGTAAGTAGGATTGGAACCGGGTGGACAAAATGGAGGCAAGCTAGAGGTATCCTTTGGGACAAATGAATACAAAATAAATTAAAAGGAAAATTTTATAGAAAAATTATTAGGCTGGTAATATTATATGAAGCGGAGTGTTGGGTGTTGAAAAAGAGACACAAATACAGCGCATTCATGTATTAGAAATGAGGATGCTATGTTGGATGATAGGAATGAAGAGATGAAATAAATAAAGAACGTGTGAGGGCAACATTAGGTATAGTGCCTACAAATGATAAAGGGTAAACTCCACTGACCTCCCCTACATTTGCCATTTTTTTTTTTAATGACCCCCTTATGACAAATTTGGTTACTTTTTTGGGTGATTTTACCTTTCTACCCTGAATATTTTACTATTAGAAATAATAAAATATCCAGCTATGTCAACTTATCATTTTGCCCATTTAAAAAAATAAAACTTTTCTTTTTTTCTCTCTCCATTCCTTCCTTCTCTCTCCCCTCTCCACCTATCACCATAGCCACCGCACCTCCCACCATGGCCACCGCACCTCCCACCCATTACCGCCACCCCTACCCTTTCACCACCACCACTAGGGTTTGGATAATAGAGATACCATATTGGAACTAGGGTTTGGAAAATAGAGAAAAAAAAAAAAAGACATGGTTTGGAATTTCTGTATATTACAGCTTCACATCTTACTTGAGCCTTATGTGAATATATATACTGGTGTACAGAAATAACAGAAAGACTAAAATACCCCTTTAGGAATAAGCAAATCACAAATATGCCCTAATACACCTATTCCACAAGAATATACTTTATTAAGTCAAGGGAAACATTTTTCTATACTTTCACATCCATAGTAGTTACAATAACTTGAACTCATTTTGTTGCATCAACTAATAATAGCTCCCAAATATTCACAGTGCTCAGGATGGTGATTGTAGAGACTTCATTTGAACGAAAAAGGTAATACTAAATTTGATACGTAGGTGTCAAGCTTATGGTTTTAATCAAATGAATTACCTTTATATGCAAGAATAATTTTCCTAAAGTTACCAATATTGAATTATATGGTCTGCATTAAAGTAAGAGGTTTTGGTCAAAATTTGATATAAATGTAAGTAAACAAACAAAAGTTCCAAGTTATATCAGGCTAAAATTTACTCGAGTATAAGTTATACCCGCCCTTGTATGGGTTGCCTGTAAATGTAATATCTTCAGCTGATATATTGGTAATATTGATCTCTAACTATGAGAAGAAATCAACAATTGTTGGTGATAAACTTGTTAGAACTTCATCACGGTAATGCTGAATTGGTATATTAATCCATCATGGGTTAACCTACTATATCATCACATAAGCTTAGCAGAGAATAAACCTATGAAATTCTTCCACGCCTCAATATCAGTATTATAAGATAATCAAAGTAAACGAAAATCAAAACACATATTAGATCACACTCACACGAAGAGCAGAGAAGAAGAACGCTTACGGCATAAGAATCAACCGTGAATGTCTTTTGACGAGGCTATCCATCTCATCAAATGCTTCTACGCCAGTCTGCCAAATGATGAACAAGTCCTTGTGCTCCAACATCAACTGATGGTACAAATTCAAGAGGGCAATATTGATAGCATTAGCCCCCAAAGACCCTCCAAGAACTAACACAACCTTGGCCTCCGAGTCCCCTGTATTGGCCAACCTTGGAAAGAAATGCATCCTCGCCGCGGCCTTGGACGCATACTGCCTCAGCGATGACCTAACAGGATTCCCACAAACCACACAATTGCTTCTCGGGAAAGACTCAAGCGTTGAATTATACGCAACAAAAACCATATCAGCGAAAAATGAAAGCACCCAATTCGCAATTCCTGGTACTGAATTCTGCTCTTGGATCACGAGTTTCAGTCCTTTGAGGGCAGCAGCGAGGCAGATTGGGAATGAAACGTAGCCACCGGTCCCAACGACGATTTGGGGATCGAAATCACGCAATTGGTGCCAGCTTTTGATGACAGATTTGATGAGACGGTAGGGGAGGATAAAGAGGTTGCTGGGTGAGAAGAGTGGGCGGGCCAAAGGGGCAGCAGGGACAGAGGCGAAGTCGTAGCCGGCGGAAGGGATTGCGGTGCTTTCCATTCCGGTTGGTGTTCCGATAAAGAGGATTTGGGCGTTAGGGTTTATGATTTTGAGTTCGTCCGCAATGGCAACGGCTGGGTAGATGTGGCCTCCGGTCCCACCAGCGGCAAATAAGATACGGAAATCGCTGTTTTTGGCATTATTAGCATTCTGATTACTCGTTTGATGGATGGATAGACAGCATATGATGTTGAAGTTCCTGAATGACATGAAAAGAGAGAAAGCTTAGAGAGAGAATATATTATATAGTCGAGAGGGGTAGAGAAGAGAGAGAACTTACCTTGATTTGGGTGGTGGGAAAGTGAGCGTGGAAAGAGATGGGTGACTCTGCAGATTTACTGGCAACTTCAGAGCAAGTGACGTGCGAGAGAAGGCGGCCATTAAAGCTGAAGGTGGAGCTGTAGCTTCTTCGGCTTATACATTTGTGACATTGGCCAGTATGTTCAGAGTTGAGATAACCAACTCACACACATGCTCTGAAAATTAACGTGAGTGAGATGTACTCGGCGCTAGTGGCGCTTGGATTTTTATTCTGCCGGCTTGGCGGGGAACAAAACTTAAAAAAATAAGTACGAAAAATACAAAGAAGTTTTACTTCTACATTTGACATCTCACGGTTTGAAGGTTATGTGTGTGTGTGTGTGGGGTTTGAAGGTTATATGTGTATCTCATGGTTCGAAGGTTGTGTGTGTGTGTGTGTGTGTGTGTGGGGTTTGAAGGTTATATGTGTATCTCATGGTTTGAAGGTGTGTGTGTGTGTGTGTGTGGGGTTTGAAGGTTATATGTGTATCTCATGGTTCGAAGGTTGTGTGTGTGTGTGTGTGTGTGTGTGTGTGGGGTTTGAAGGTTATATGTGTATCTCATGGTTTGAAGGTTGTGTGTGTGTGTGTGTGTGTGTGTGTGTGTGTGTGTGTGTGGGGGGGGGGGGGGGGGGGGGGGGGGTTTTGAATTTTGGATAATTTACACAAAATAATTTACACAAATCTCTCCTATAATTTGTTATAATTGTAAGGACCTCTCCTCTAATTTGGGAATTTACTCAAATCTCCCTAAGAATGAAAATATCCTACACGACCTTTCTTCTGTTAGAGTCAACGTCAGTCAAGGACGGAAATTACCAATGTCATGTACAAATTTTACTAAAATTCCCAAAATACCCTTGTCATATATAATTACATATTATAGGTAAAAGATATAAATATATATATATATATATACACACACATGAAACCCAATTCATGAACCTGCGAAGTTTTGTTCTCTCTTTGTCTACACACACACACACACACACACACATATGTTGCTTGTGTAATTCTCCAATTACATATCTTTGTGACAATATATCAATGAATTTTCAGAGGATGGGTGCACTAGAGAAGAAACAATTGTGACATTGAATTCAACAACAAACCGCAGTAACCAACCCTAATGTTACCCAAATCGAGGAAGAAAAAAAAAAAAAAAAAAGCACTTTACCCAAATCAGGGGAACAAAAAAAGCCCTTACCCAAAATTCTGACCTCATCGGAAAAGAAACGTTGATTCAGTTCAAACCCAGTAACGTAAACCTTACCAATATATGTTGATCATGCAACTCATGCTCCAAATCAACGTAACGGTCGTCAAAATTAAAGTGTTCTTGTGAGTTCAAACTCAGTAATCCATCAATTCAGAGATATATTATAACTAAAAAAATGATATTGTGGTGAAATTAAGGAAATTGTGAAGACTGAGTCTTCTTTTTCCTTTTTCGATTTTCCGTCATTCATTTTATTTATTTATTTTAATTGTTTAATTATTTAATTTATTCTTTTTTCGCGTTGCCTTAGGGTTTTGTTGTACCCGTGGTAGGCTTCGATGTTCGGAACTGATTTTCGGCACTACGTGCATTGCATTATGTCTTAATTTCGTAGAAAAGTATGCTCGTTTTATTTTAATTTCTAGGGGTATGGATGCATGGTTTCTTCGGAAACATTTTCATTTTTCGGAGTGTTTTACGTAATTATGTTTTTAGATATTTTGCCGTAGGGACTTTTGTGCAATCATTTTGCTAGATATTATGTGGAGGGATTAACTTGCAAATAGGGGATAAGAGTGACAAGTGGCACTCTCCCATTGGACCACATGTTGGCTTACCACTGGAGCATTTGTTGACTTAGATTGTTGACAAGTGTAGGCTTAGGATCAAACCTTATGAGGGGGCCTAGATTAGTGACAAGTGGAGGGTGGATGTGTGTGTGTGTGAGAGAGGTAGTATTGGTGTGTGTATGTTTGGCTAACAAAACCTTTGGTTAGTGGAGAAAGATGTGAAACTTCATCTTCCTCACTTAACCACCATTGAAGGACTTAGAAACCCTAGCCTCTATTTCTCATATTTGAACCCCTTCCCTTGAGCTTTGAGTCTTCCACCTTGAAGACAAAAGCTTCATCTCTTCCTCCTTTACAAGACTACAACACCTTTTCTTGTTTTCACCATTTGCCCTTATTTGCTTTGGATTCTAGAGGGACAATCCTCTAGTGAGATAGGGAATGTTATATGTTTATACCCTTAGTGTTTTATGTGTTCTTGGAGTTGGTATGCATTCTTACATGTTAATTTCAAATTTTAGGGTTGTATATAGATGTATATAACTTGAAATTAACTTAGGGTTTTGTTTTATATAAGTGTTGTACTTGATTATTAACTTATGTTAAGCTTACTTCATTTAGGGATGTTTTGAATCATGTGATTTTTGACTGTGTAATAATTAAGTTTCTATATTATTGTGGTTAGTGATTTAATTATGTACTTAATACTATGTCAATGTTGAAATCATGGAATTGAAACTTATTGTACATTAGCATGGATGTATTTCAATTATTGACAATATAGTAGTAACTTAGCTTGATTCTCATTGTGAACTTGATGTTGGAATTGTCCTTGTAGTGAAGACTGAGGGCATATATTGTGTGTTTCCAAAATTTGATTGTGCATGGAAGGTGGAAAAGTGCATTGTATACTTAGTATACTTGTTGTATAACTTATTAATTTTGGAAACTTGGGACGTCATAGTCTTGACTATGGTTATAGTACGGCTCTCATACAAGAAATACGAGTTCTCCCCACATGTGTGTACTAGGGTAGTTCTCGGTGGTCTAGTAACCCAAAATAGCTATTATGCGTTTGGTTTTATCCGGCGTGATGTCCAAGTATATCTACATTTGTTTGATTTCGCATTTTTAATTCAAGTTGAGAACATGGGGACGTTGTAACTTGTTGTTTTGTATTGGATATCCCAATGTTGTTTAATCGCATTACTATTGTGGTTTATGTTGAAAATGTTTTAAAGTAGCTCTAGGATGATCCTATTCCACTTTGGACATAGACGTTAGGCGGCGTGAACCACATGTTTCCATTTATATTAACTTGCAAAACCATTAAAATTTTAGGTTATACGCATGTGCATTATCCTACAAGTAACTTGTTTACCCACCTTAGTTGTTTGAATCTTTTTCAGGCAAGGAAACTTTGTTTTTTGATGCTTAACATCCGTAGCTTGGCTTGGTAGCAATTGGATATCTTTTGTGTACATTATATCATACAAATGTTTAGCATGCTCCTTTTGTTTCATTTTGTTAACCATGGATGTATAGTATTTAGAAGCCTATTTAGCTTAATTTGAAATGTGTGATATGTTATATTTTGATCCCTTTTGAAGGAGGAAATGGAATTAGGACTTATAAACTTCTTAGTTGAGTCCCAATGTCATTTCTACCTTCGCTTCATCTTTTATATAACCTTGGTTTACATATAATGAGGCCTTAGAGCCATCTTTTGGTTGTTGCCCTTTATTTGTTAAATTGCACACTTAGGTATGTTTCACACACTTGCAAATGATCATTCATGTTTGGGGAGCTTGTTTATCATTTTTGGGTGCCAAAGAAACCATTTTAAAGCATTTAGAATGCATATTTAGGTATCCCATTGAAATAAATGCATGCACATGTTAAAATTGTTATTTATGCCTTGGGAATCAAAATTTGAAAAATTTGCTAGCAAGTTGAGGAATATTACGGAATATACATGAGCATGGATGGTAAGCGACATAGATAGATGTAAGTTTACTTTTAAAAGGATATTAGAGTTCAAAATTGTTTGATATGTGGATTTGAGCTTTATGTGGGGACCATATTTGTTGTGCACAATGTTAAAGGTTCGAAGTTATTTCTGACTGTGCGTAATCTACATACTTGTTGTAAATTTTTTTTTTTAATTGTTAGGATACTTTGCTATGCTAACCATGTTATGAATGAGCTAAGTGCGTTAAAAGCACAAATTTTGAATGTTTGTGGGTATCATCTCTGGAAACCCTCACGAGACTATAACTCGTCCACTAGGGGTAACCTAGGGGTTTAAAGGCTTGTTGCATATACTAAATGCAATCATTTCTCCAATGAAAGAGGAAGTTATCTTAGTTATTTTATTTTAAGTTTTGTTTTATATTGCTAAGGGACTAGTAATATGTAAGTTTGGGGGTGTGATAAAAGCTAAATGTTGCCTATTTGAACCGTTAGATTTGCATATTTTAATACCTTAGTAATGTTTATTTCATGTTACTTATGTTATTTTCTTAATTTTTATTTTTTTCAGTTAATCTCCAAAAATTCAATCAATTTCGTTACTTTTAGGGTATTTGAGTTCAATTAACGAATGGAGACCGCGAGAGCTAGAGTATCCAAGGTAACACAATGGTCAAGATCATTCAAGGATAAATTTAGAAGACTTTTAAAGGGCTTTTCAACAAGCTAAATTCATTTTTAGGTCATTATATGAAGAAAAAAAGGTTTAATATTCCAATAAGGAAACAACTTAAGTAGAAAATTCTGGACTCGCTTCACTATTTTGGGCATAACATTTTACCCGAAACTCGGAATTGGGAAAACTCAGCGGCCCTAGAAAGAAGACTCGAAACCCATTGTTTTTATGTCTAATAGAAGTTTTTAGATTCGTACTCCAAATAAGTCAAAACAACATTACAAACTGACAAAAATATAGAAGCCTGTTTGGGCTCCTTTCTTTTGGTTGGGCCTTCTCTATTTTCCTTCTCTATGAGGAAATCCTACAACATGTGGATATAAAAGGGAGATGTTAAGCAGAAAAAAAGGGAGATTACAAAGAATACACAAGAGATACATTGGGGCAGCTTTTAGGGTTTTGAAGATTGAAGATTCTAATTGGTGGTCCATGGAAATGACTTCTATACCAACAATGATAAAATCCTTCCTCTCCATGAGTAACTAAATTTCATCTTAGGGAATTGATGTAACCCTAGCCAAGTAACATGGTTTGATTGTTCTTAATTTTAGGGATTTTTATATGTATATTGATTGCATGGTTTTGAGCAATTAACTTAGTTGTACTAAGCAATTGGGTTTTAATGAAAATAATTGGTGTTTGATGAAATTAATCTCATCTTAGAATTAATTTTGCTTTAATCAAATTTAAACTTTTTTTATTCTGAGAGATTGGCGGCTAAGGGCTTCTCTTAATGGTTTAAGTAGTGATCATGCAATGGTACTTAATTGAATATATATGAATGAATGTTTTAATAATGCA